ACCCCTCACTCACCCGTTTCCTTTGACGTCACGATGAAAGGAGATGTCACCCTCTTTGTTTCTGCCTTGCCTCTTTTGTTTCCAGTCATGTGGTGGCTGATACCTTTTTAACTCCATTTTTATTTTTGTATTCTCCTCTTTCTCTGTCTCATTTGCCTCGAGGGATTTGTTAATGGGCTTTGTTCTCGATTATATTTTCCTTTCTTTTCTTTTTTTTCCTTTTTGGGGGGTGATTAAATAGTACGTGACCGCGATCAATTGATTGTCGAGCCGATCTATGGGTGGGAACATGAAAGACCTGGAAAGGAGAGGATAGACAGATAGACAGAAAAACAATAAAGCGGGTAGTTGAACATAAAGACAGAGAGATGGTTATTGTTGTTACTGATTTCGATTTTTTTTAAAGAAATGGGATGGATGGGGGTAAAGGGAGAAAAGATTGAGGAATAGTATCAAAGAGCATAAAGAAGCAGAAGAACAACGACGACAATGACGACGACAATGACGACGACGACGACGACGACGACATCAACAACAACAACAGCAACAACAACAACAACAACAACAACAACAACAGCAACAACAACAAAAACAACAACAACCACCACAACAACAACAACAATGACGATAACAGCAAGGAAGAGACAAAGATAACAGAAACAGGAAAAAGAGCTCTTTAACGAAGCTGACACTGCGTCCCGGATTCCAAACGTATCCTACCATAAGATCATTAAGCCACAACAGCCTCGGGTATTTTTTTGGCATTTTGTTTCGTTGAGCGGAAGTCATTTGCTTTGGGGTTTTGTTTTTGTTTTTGTTTTTTGTTTTTTTCTTTTCGTTTTTTTTTTCTTGTTTAGAACAATTGTTGGGCAGTTTGACTATATTATTGTGAACATTTTCGTTTGTTTGTTGTATTTTGCTGACATTGTAGCGTTGGTGTTGTCGCTGTATTTTGTTGTCTTTATGTAGTTGTTGGTGATGTGGTGTTTGTATTTTGCATGTTGTTTCTGTTGTTGCTGCTGCTGCTGCTGCTGTTGTTGTTGCTGTTATTTTAGTCACTGTTTTAGTTATTTTCTTTCAGAAGAGGGTATGTGGGTGGTCTGCAGGTGCTCTGGTGTGGTTTGTTCCTTCTCTCCTATCGTCCTGATCTCTCCTTCTTTTTTCTATTAGCCACTGTCTTGTAACACCCCAAAATTTCGGCATTTATATGACCTAAATGAGTTGCAAGTTCCGTGAAACTCTTAACTAAAGAGCTAAAAGAGGAGAGTTAAAATGTCAACTCTGTTGAAGAAGAAAAGAATCTTTGAACAACTACACAATAATATACCCCGTTATAATAGATCTACTGACCAGACGGAATCAATTTTACTTGACGGGTCACGAAACAGAAAATACGTAAACATTTGCAATTTAAAAAAGAAATTGATTAAATGTTTGTACGGACTTCATCGTTTAAGGGGAAATATATTATTTAAATTTTAGCTCCTAGGCTACGACAATCGCAAAACATCGGACATTCACCCCGTGCATTTTACTGCTCCACGTAATGTCAAGTGCCAGAGGGGGATGCGAAATGGGAAAAAAAAGTAGTTGGCAGTTTCCATCTGCTTCCCTCCCTCCCTCCCCTTATCCCACCCCCTGTTTGGACCCCCAAAATGGGAGGCGGGGGGGGGGTAGAATGCTAGGTTCTAGCAGTGGACAACAGTGGGTGTTTTATGCGTTTTTACGCCGTTTCTTGCCCTCCTCTAGAAGATCGCTCCTGTATCGGGGCACTCTGCGAGTTTCTTGACAGCTCCGTCGTTGTGAGGGGCGATAACCGCGAAGAATGTCGGGGGTCGCTGGTTGGCAAGGGAGATAACTCGTTGGGAGGATCTGGGCTGAGTTCGTGCTGGGTCACGTTTATCGGACAAACGCCGTCTTTGTGGGCAAGGAGAGTTGCGTGATTAGAAGTTTAAGCAGCTGGTGTCAGCTTGAGGATAGATCGACTTTAGAACGACGACGACAACAGCAACAACAACAACACTAACAACAACAACGACACCACCACCACCAACAACAACAACAACAAAAACAACAACATCAACGACGACGACGACAATGAAGAAGAAGAAGAAGAAGAAGAAGAAGAAGAAGAAGAAGAAGAAGAAGAAGAAGAAGAAGAAGAAGAAGAAGAAGAAGACAACAACAACAACAACAATACTAACAATATGAACAAAAAATAACAGCCGCAATTTATTATTTATTATTAGTAGTAGTATTAGTATTGTTATTGTTGTTGTTGTTATTGTTTTTATTATAATTGATTTTATATTATTATGTTTGTCTTGAATTTACCGGGGTCATTATGTTAAGTGCTTCACAATAGTCAAACCAAACCCTTCTCAAACTTTATCCAGAAAGGTGCCCCTGGCCAGCACTCAGATGATTACAAAATTGTCTCGTATATCAAATTGGACCTTTTTTAATTGCGTGCACCCTGTATTTCACCTGTGGGGATTTTGTGACATCTGTTACTGAGGGCGCTCACGCTATACTCACAGACACGCCCTCTTTGAGTTTGCGATTCAAAGAGACCCCCAAAAATGTGAAGAGATAAAAACAACAGTCGTTTGTTAAAAAAAGCCCTTCCTGGTCTTTGAGCATGCGCTGAACCCTCTCATGGGTGACACGTTGCGACGAGGTCTTCAACCGCTGGGTGAGAAATGGGCAAATTCCGGTGGGCAAAAAAAAAAAGTGTTTAGATGGGCTGTATCTCATGCATTATAAATTAAATAAGTACTCGTCGTCGGTCGTCGACTGAGGTGGTAGTAAAGTTGTGAAAACCACAAGCCGCTGGGGAACGCCAACCATCAGTCTGTGAATACAGTCTGGGTTAATGAGGCGTCGACAGCTCAGTAGGAATCTTGCGGGACTGCAGTTCTGATGACCCCGGGTCTCACATTAAACACAGTAATTGTAGACGATTTACACCCCCATCGGCACTATGTGTGTGTGTGTGTGTGTGTGTGTGTGTGTGTGTGTGTGTG